GGGACGTTGGGAAATGGGCTGTGTTTCGGCTTCCTCCATCGCTAACCCTGCCCTGGGTCTGGTCCTTGTGGAGGCTGGGGTAGAGGGGGCTTGGTGGGATGGGGGGATGAGCTGGGCCAGTGTCGGGCTTGGTGTGAGCTGGTGATGGGGATTTTGGGTGCTCGTTGGGCATATGAGAAGGGGACAGGAGATGAAAGCCATGTCCCTCCTTGCGGAGCCTTTGAGAAACAGCTCCTGCTCCATCACAGATGTCCTGGACCATGGACACCTTGAGGTGGGACAGCACTGGGCATTCAGAGGAGGATCTCAGGTAGTCCAGAGCTCAAGGATTGAGCTCTTTTGAAGGGATATGCACAAATCCATGTTGCTTTTGGATGCCTAGTCCCACAGAGATGTTTTTTTCTTGACTCTCTGGTTTGAAACCAACCCCCATCAACTCCCAAACTGGTCCCCGTGCCTCTTTCAAGCCTGAAATTCTGCATTATCAGCATGCAGTGGGGTTACTCTCAGGGCTGGGAAGAGGAGGGTGAAGAGGCTGGGCTTTTACCTGAGACGGCAGCGTTTTGGGTTCCTGACCCTGGTGTCCATCCATCAGAGCTAGGGCAGGAGGGGAGCATCCACTCTGACCCCCCCGTCCATCCATTTACACACAGGCTACCGGCAAAAACAGCGGGGACCGGACAAGGACACACTGGGGCTTTTGATGGGAAATAAAGTGAGTGGCCGAGGGGAGCTTTAAAGAGGCATTGACCCCGAGTGGAAATCTGGGTGAAAAATGACTTTGCTCCCATCCTCCTGCTCCCAGCAGCTTTTTTGTTTTTGTCTTTGCTGCCACTTATTTTGCTTGTGCAATCGGATGCTAATGCTTTGGCGTGCGTTGCTTGCGTTTGAAGGTCAAAATCCCCAAAGTTTGTAAACCGCGGTCCTTTAAAAAGATCAGATGCGTCGGAAGAGTTTGTACGTGCGGAGCCGGGTGAGAGCAGAGCAGGAATTTGGCTGGGAGATGAACTCGGTGTCTGGTTTTTGGCTGGTTTTCTCCCAAGCTCCAAAGTTTTTGGTGATGCAAGACCTAGGACAAGTGGGGTGCTGGGTTTTGGATTAAACCCCTGACATTTCGAAGCTGAGCTGGGTTTGGTGCTGGCTGATGCTCCTTCCCATGCATTTCTCCATAGCCCGTGTGTGTGCACGCATGCATGTGTGTGTGCTTTGTGGCCAGCGGGAGGTACCCAAAAGGAGCCCTTTTATTTGTGCAAGGTTTGATTAAAATCTTGGAAACGGGTTTCAGATGGCGCTGAAAGCTGAAACCAGGGGAGCTAAACCCGGGTTGCTTTTCTCACCGAAATTTTGCTTGCCTCCGACCTTTCGGCATCCCTGGGATGTAACTCCCCTGCACCCAGCATTGGGCAGAGCCAGGTAAAGCCCAATCGCACACCATGGGTTTGTCAACAAAATCCGACATATATTTAAGTAAACTCAGTATCTGAAAACCAGCAGAGGCAGAATTTAGATTAAAAACCGTCTCGTTCAGCTCCCGCGGCTACGACTTGTCCACAAACACGTATGCACAACTCTGCAAATACGTTTAATTTGACACGTCTGAGCTTTTCTATAGATGTGGGACGCTGCTGACTAAAATAAGGCTTCTGCGAGCGTTAGCAGGCTTGGGGCTTTTCGGCTCTTTTGTCTTCTGAAGAAATTTTCACCAGTAGCTGCAGTCTTACAGGCAAAAAAGGAGGTGGTGTTTCCATCCCAAATCTGCTGGGTGTGAGGGATTTTGAAGGAGAAGCCTTGAAATGTAGGTTTGGGGGTTTAAATAGAAACCCTCCTGCGGCACTTGGCTTTTTAGTGTGTGTGTATATATATATGTGTGTGTATATGTGTGTGTGTGTGTATATAGATATAATATACATATATTTTATATATATC